GATCTGAACGCTGTACAATGTAACCAAGACGTTTGAGGTAGGCATATATCTGATAACGCGCAAGTGTTGCACCGTCCTTTCCTAAAATTTGTGCGTAGGCTTGTGCAACACTGATGGGTATACAATGAGGATGAGCTGCTTCCGTAGGAATTGATCCGATACTGTCATTCATACGGCAGTCCAAAGCGCCGCGCTCCAGCAAAAAGACAGTTTCTTCAGGGTACAGCTCAAGATGCGTCGACTTGAGTCCATCGTGTGTCGTCCGTCGCTCTGTCACACCCATGTGAACACATGACTGTCCGCGCTGTACAAACACAATGGCCCTTTCTAGAACTGGATCCCATGTCGCCGTACTCAGTGTCTTACTCGAATGTGCACGGTCCGTTCGTAGAGCAGAAAATAGCGCATCTCGACTCAAGCTTAGTGCTTTGGTCTGCCCACCAAACCCTGTTGGTTCGAAATCTTTTTCGCCTCGCTTGGGGATTACTGGTGCTTCTGCCCCAGGCTTGTGTCGTTGCGTAAGGGCCGCAAGTACGCGGTAATCAGGCATGTCCTCCTCGCCATCGGAATCTTCTCGGCGCACTGCTTCCTCCATGATGAACTTTTTTCGAAGCTGACTCAGCAAATTCACTCGCACAGGCCGTGCATAAATTGGGATTAGGGACTGAGCTTTGTGTCTGCTGTACGATGGACAACGTTAGGGGCGATTTCGTGATGGGGTCCAATAGTACCGGACCCATGCCTGGGCCTATTGGGCAGCAGTTCACTGGGCCATGGCTACAGCAGCAGATCCTGTTCTCCAGTGTAATTGGCATAATATCCTTGATCATGTTCTGGCTATGGAAACGGCGCTACCCATCTCTGTTTTTGGGCAGATATTCGAAGCAAGGCACTTCTTTGCCTTATCTTACAATCCGTAAGACACTTGTGAAATGGATCGTGCCTGTGGTGCTAGTAAGCGACCAGACAGTACTGCAATCTGTGGGGATCGATGGTACTGTCTCCTTGTTATTTCTGAAGCAAGGATTCGTATACTTTGCTTTGCTTAGTGTTTGGTCTCTGTTGATAGTGATGCCGGTCAACTTTAATGCAAATGGCTGGATTGATGGTGTGAAGAAGACGGAGGGGATCAACTTCCAACACAATCAAACCGAAGCATCTATTCTTCATCAGCATAAGCACAAACTACCTCGGGAGCCACTGCCCTACATCCCCTTCCCCAAGACGATCATGGGAGGCGCAATTTACGAGTACACTCATCTAGTCACGACCTATGTGTATTCGATCGTGGCTATGTATGTTCTATGGCGCGCCTATGCCACGTTCATTCGTTTGCGCCAAGGACATATCCGACAACAGATCGAGAGCGAAGTGACCCGCACTGTCGAAGTCCGTGAAGTGCCGGAGCATCTGGCTTCACACGACGCTCTTGTAGCCTATTTCTCTGAGCTGCGCATGGAAGTTGAGAGTGTTTCGATCTTGAAAGATACTCGATCTCTTGACCGTCTACTACACCGTCGGTTCGAGACCCTTCAGCGTCTGGAAAAGACTTGGACTTCCTATGTAGGATTTCCACCAAATGCCCAAAATTACGATCCAGAAAAAATCGTCAATGAGACGTCTGCGATCGAAACTCCTCCGCGCCCAGGTGCGCCACCCATCATCGCACCAGAAGTAAGGGTTGCCAAACGAGCCAGACCCACACTCCGCTGTTCCTGGTCATGGAAAGGTCCTTGGGGTCCGCGCGTGGATGCCATCGATCAGCTATCGTTCCAATTTGCGGAACTGGATCGTGAGGCAAAATCTATGCGGCAAGAGTCGTTCAAGAACGGACACACTGCGTTTGTCACCTTTACTTCTGCAACGCATGCACAAATTGCAAGTCAGGTCGTCCACTATCCGTACCCCGGCTATGTCAATACTGAGCCGGCAGTAGAGCCTCGCGATATCCTCTGGGATAACGAAGAGCCAGGTCTTTGGGATCGTCGCGTACGACAGCTTATCATGACCATCTTGATGGCAGTCTTTTTATCGTTCACTCTCGGTTTGAGTGCAACGCTAGCAGCCATTTTCCGGATAGATGCGATTGAGCGGTATTTGCCGTGGCTTGCTGAATTCCTCCGTAAGGATGTGCGCCTGGAAGCTTTCACCACCTTCTCGCTGCCAACCTTGCTGTTGGTCACGATCAACGCGCTGGTCCCGATTGCCATGCAATACTCTACTGCATTCCAGCGTGTACGCTCCAAATCCAGAATCGATCATGGAGTTCTCAATAAATACTTCCTTTACCTGATTTTCTCGGTTGTGTTTGTGTTTGCATTCTCTGACGCTCGCCAGATGCTTAAGGAACTCACACAAAATCCCGAGCAAATGATCGATAACTTGGCTCAGTCCTTGTTACCGGTGGCTCGTAACTTTTCCTTGTCCTATGTTATCTTTCAGGCTTTGGCAACGCAACCGTTCCAGTTGCTTCAATTGCCTAGCATCATGCTCAAGCTCTTTAGCCGCATTCTGTATGGCTCAACTCCTCGAGCACGCGCTTATTCGGACCAAGCTCCCGTGCTATCGGTGGGCACATTGTATCCGCAAGCCTTGCTGGTGTTCACTTTGAGTATTCTTTACTCTATTGTGTCACCACTGATTGTCGTATTTGGCGCAATGTATTTTGCCGTGACATACGTCGTGCTAAAATATAAGCTGCTAAATATGTTGATCGTTCCTTACGATTCGCACGGTCATGCTTGGCCATTGGCAGTCACACGCTGCCTGTGGGCGTTGCTCCTTTTCCAAGTCTTCCAGCTATCACTATTTTCGGTGCGTCAGCAAGTGGGGAATAGCGTGTTGATCTTGCCATTGATTGCTTTCACCGCTTGGTTCTTGATGAATATGCGACGGACGTTTGCACCACTCACATTCCACTTGAGTCTCTACGATATATATGCCGAGTACGACAAGGACCGTCAGATCAATCTGTCGGCATCCCAGCATGAGCATACCGAGCAGCCAGGGTTTAGCTCGATTCAAGATGATCTCGATCACGAAAATATGCAATCGAGACACTCAGATCCACCTTCGTCTGAAGTCGATGACCACAACAGTCCGGAGCAGCCATGGAGCTATAGCGGCATGCCCGCATCGGCTCCGTTCAAGTACATTCAACCCGCTCTAGCGGACCAATTACCTACATTGTGGCTGCCGACTCTACCCACTTCAGACCAAGATACTCTCCCCTAAGTTACCCAAGACGAACTGCATTAGCTCCGCTTGCAAATTTCATTCGCTTCTTAGACGGTGCAGAAATTGGTTCTGCTGGACGCGGAGTAGTTTCCTCTCCAGCTTTGCGTTTCTGTGCGTCAGCTTGCGGTTTGACGTGTTGCTCGAAATGCTTTTTGCGTTCCTTTTCAAGATCCGCATTCTTGGCTTGGATCTTCTTTTTGCGTGTCTCACTAGACCCTCCGCCACCGGCCGTGAGCTCAACATTGATTTGCCGCCCACGGAACATAGAATGATGGAAATGTAGCCCCTTTTGAAGCGCTTTTGGTGTGGAAAACTCCACAAATGCACATCCTTTAGAAACAGCAGCTGTTGGATCCTGCGCTTTTCCCTTCGCGATCGATTTCTTCTTTGAGTTGGATAGCTTCTCGAATGCACGAGGGTCCGCTCGTTTCGTTAACAAACGCACTTGTGGTGTCTCACCACAAGTCTCGGCAAAATGCTTTGCTAGCATTTCAGCAGTCACGTCATAAGCCATATTTCCTGATCATTAGCTAGACTACTCACCAACAAACACAATGTATTTTTGACTTGTCTTGGTCGTATTGTTCACAGTGCTAGCCTCCTGCGTCACTTGTTCAGCCTCTCCCTCGTCATTAAATAGAGTTTTGGTGGATTTAGTGTCGCCCGATGAATCAATATCTTGTGTTTGGCTTGCTGACTTTTTCTTTTTCTTTTTTATTTGTTTCTCTTTATCTGTAGCTGTTGCATCTGGAGAATTGACTTCCTTGTGTTCCTTGGAAACCACCTCCGAGCTCTTGCTATCTTTTTTCGGGTCCGTTTCGTCAAGTTTCGAAGCAATGGGAAAGCTTGAATCTTGATCATTAGCTGTGGGTATACTTTCTGATTCAACCTGATTCCCTGCTGCATGAATCGCACGAAATTTCGCAGCCTTCTTTTCTCGTTTAGACAACTCGCCCATACTGAACGATAGGAATCTTGAAAAAAGTCGCAAGTGGAGGCACAGGTTATGCAATACAAGGAAATTAACCTCTCAAGGGATTGCAGCAAAGCTTTTGCTGGGGTCATATAGTTCGATCACTGGCTTCTGTCAATCGTATCGCTTAGGACTATAGCTTTCAATACATAGAAGACTAGCTATTGCGCGATGACTACCAGACACGAGTATGTGAAAGTGCGGAAAGGACACGTTCTAGCTTTGTACGTTCCTGAACAAAGTCCAAATCGCTTTCGGGGGTATCCTGTGACGAGGGATTTTGGCGCAATGCTAGCCCTACTATCACAGGTTTCATGTTACCAAGAATATTGTCTGCGGAATATAGATCAGCGCATATGGCGGCCGCAATCTGCGTCGCATACAAGGCGTATAAGTCGGTATACTGTGCCGGTGGTGTTCCAAAAAGCGGGACCAACGTCACAGTAGGAATTGTGATAGAATCTCGGTTCTTATTCTGCAAGAACTCCGCAGTATGTTCGCCAGGTTCGACTTGTGCTTGCACCTATCGTCAGCATGTGAGCTCGTACCAAATAGCCGATTTTATCCACTTCTGTCACAAGTACCAAGGTCCGGTCAACATACTCTTGACTCATGATCGTTACATTTGTATCCGCAATATTCTCAGTATGCACTTTTGTCGCAATGACATTGCTCGGCAATGCCTCTACTTGCACATTGGAACCTAAAAGAGGAAGTGACATTGTAGTGCTATGAGGCAGTGGCTTGTTGGAATCAATTACACTTTGGTGCTGCTTTATTTCCGTGCGAAGGTAGGATGGCCGAGTGGTCTAAGGCGCTTGATTCAAGTATTGAATATTTCGACGAACAGTCGTTGCTCCCAAGTTATCCTGGGTTCGAATCCCAGTTCTACCACACTTTTTGCCTTGAGTTCATCTAGTCGATCGTGGTTATCGCACGTGGAGTCTCGGTCGACTTTCGCGCATAGCTGCAGTCCGAACTGTCTACTGAGTTCATCTTTCATTTTTCTTAATGACGGAGCAACGACAGATTGTGATTGTTGGAGGTGGTGTTATTGGCGCAAGCATCGCATACTTTTTAAGTCGTGCAAAGAATTGCCCGCCGGTGACTTTGCTCGAGGCTAGTAAGCAAGTAGCGCCTGGCGCTTCGGGCAAGGCAGGTGGCTTTTTGGCTTTAGATTGGCACGGCACATCAACCGCAAGTCTAGCCGCATTGAGTTTTGAATTGCACCGCAAACTGGCGCAGGAAAATAACGGCGCTGAACGATGGGGTTACCGCGAGGTCGAGGTACGTGACTTGTTTCTTACACTCAGACGCACAATCTCCGCCTTGATACTTCACGAAAACCACGCGCAAAGCCCAAGGTGCCTTGGATGAACCCGGACGTATTCACCACTACAAGTCCCATGGGCGGTAGCGGAAGTACGGCTCAGGTCACACCGGGAGATCTCACCAGATTCCTTGTGGAAAAGTCGCAAGAAGCCAACGTCAGCTTGCGTTTACAAACCAAAGCTGAGGGGCTAGTGATGGAAAATGATAAGGTGAAAGGTGTGAAAGTTGTTTCCAATGGTTCAGAAGAGATCATTCCTGCGACGGACGTCGTGATTGCCACTGGGTATGTATAAAGAATTCAGCCGAGCTAACTCTCACAGGCCTTGGACAGGCAAATTGCTAAACCAATGGTTTACGCCAAAGACTATGCCATCCTATTTGCGTTCAGCTGCGATGATTGATGGGAGTCGCGCGCATAGTATTGTGATTCAAGCGGCAAAGAATCATCAGCTGTCTGCAGACTGTTTCTTCACCGAAATGAGCTATGGCAATTCAGCTGGCGCTCCAGAATTCTACATACGTCCCAAGGGCATCGCATACATATCGGGTGGATCCGATGACGTGCCGCTTCCGGATCTAGCCGATGAAGTGTCCTATGACCCGAAACTTGTGAAAGAGCTTCAACGCCAAGCAGCTGTCGTGTCACCAGAGTACCTTGATGTTAACCGTGATGCTCAGCTCAAGTCCGAGCAAGCGGTAAGTATTGATCGACTAACTCCAGTGTTATTTGCCACTTTCTCCTCGCACTGCTGCGCCTATATTGGGTGGCAATGCCGCTAACGGTATTTATCTTGCCGCCGGTCACTCCGTTTGGGGGATCAACAACAGTCTAGGCACTGGCAAGGTCATGGCCGAGCTCTTATTGGACGGGAAAGTGACCAGCGCAGACGTTCGTCATTTGCAGCCGTAGACAAAATTTCGCATTGATATATATTGAACTACCCATTTACACGTAACTAAGTCGACGAGCAAACTCAATCAGGGCACGCACAGGACGCCCTGTCAATCCCTTGCCTTGGTAGTCGTTGATAGTGTTCACTGCCGCCTCCATCGACCCGGCAATGTCAATGTGTGCATAATCCACAGACGGTTTCGTTCCTTTTGCACGATCCTCGAGTCCTGAAACGAATTGTTTCAGGAAAATCGCCGCTGTAGCCGAGCCTGCTGGACGACCGCCTGTATTGACTAGATCCGCATTCGTCTTGGAGATTTGCGGCAGATAGGCATCAGTCAATGGCATACGCCAGAACAAATCATGTTCAGCATCACCAGCCGTTTTAAGATCTTGCCAAAGACGATCTGTCTCGGTGAACACAGCAGAGTAGACGTCACCCAAGGCAATCACACAAGCTCCAGTCAATGTTGCTACATCCACCAGAGTGTGCGGCTTGTATGTGTCGCAAGCATACGTGATCGTGTCCGCCAACACAAGACGGCCTTCCGCATCCGTATTATCCACTTGGACCGTGAGTCCATTACGTGCCTCAAAGATATCTCCAGGCTTCGTAGCACGCCCAGAGGGCATGTTCTCCGTCAACGGTGTAAAGGTAGACACATTGATCGGCAAGCCAAGCTGCGCAATAGCAAGTGTCGAAGATACAACAGCCGCGGCACCCCCCATGTCTGCGCGCATCAAATCCATACCTGCGCCAGGCTTGATCGAGATTCCTCCCGTGTCAAACGTGATCCCTTTGCCGACGAACGCCAAAGGCTTAGCATCTTGTTCAGGCGCTCCGTGGTAATGGATCTCGACAAACTTTAGCGGCTGTTCTGAGCCTTGTGCAACAGACAAGAACAAATTCATACGCTGCTCACGTACCCAGTCTGCATCACGCACAATCACCTCGGTATTGGGGACATTCTTGAACGCTGCCACGACTCGCTTGGCAAACTCCGTCGGGGTCATTAGGTTTGCGGCTGTCTCTTGAAGTTCTCGAGACCAGTTTTGTGCTCGAGCATATACTTCACCCGTATACCAGCTAAGTGGTGTACTGGTTTCGCCCAAACTATCGTTGACATCTCGCAGCTTCTTCTTATCTGCGTCGGATTTGGCACCATTCAATGACACTGGAGTGATATGCTTTCCGCCTTGTAGATGAGCGGGCTTTTTCCAACTTGGAGCAGATCCACGCGTTTTGAAATGATTTACAGACCACAGGCCTAGCAAAGCACCCTCGGCAGCGGCATGCGCACTCTCAAAGCTGTCCACTTCTACCGTTTGCTCTTCACCCGTGCTAAATTCCCGCAATGTACGTACACCTTTCGCAGCATTCAAGCGAGTTTGCTCTGCACGCTCGTTCTGCAAGAACACATCCGCTCCGTTTGGCCGGTCTGGCTGCGTCTCTGGAGCAGCTTTCTGTTCACCTTGGCTTACAGCTGCAATCGGGACAGACTCCGCAGGGAACAACACTCGCAACTCGCCAGGCTTGCTAGCCGACGCGTGGCTTGCTTTCCATTGTGCAGTAACCTGACTTCCTACTTCACCACCCAGATCAATGTTTCCATTGGGCTTCACAGCTACCACTTTACCTAACACAGAAGACGACATCGTTCGACAAACGAACGATCGTAGCATAGTAATGGAGGTGGATCCCACTAGCCAGAGTTCGTATGCAAGAAGCTATGCAACTTTCGCCCAGGCTCACGCCCAATGATCTGCTCAAGCGTGGTGCTAGATGCAGCACATAGCTCTGAAACATTCTCTATCGCATTCATCAAATAGATATAGTTCTTTGCCGTGACACCAGGCATAGCTCGTAGCATATCGACGGGGGTGAGGTTGATGGTATTGTCCCCGACCACATCGTCGTCCATCCCAATATTTGCGGCGGTCGCTGCATCGGGCTCATCATGACTTTGTTTCAGCTCTGCAAAGATTTCGGCAGTGGCATACGGCGAAGACGACCAAATAATTCGTAATCGCGGAAACGATAGCGTGAGGAGCACCAATTTCGATTGCACATCCAACTCAGTGGGGTTGGTCCGAGTTGGTTTGTTGTCGGCGATCGACTCAAGTGTGAATGCACGCTCTTGCTCAAATTCAATCAGCAGAATCGGGTGCTGATAATGTACGGACATCGCCTCGCATTGGGTATATAGACGGCCAGAATTCAAACTTTGCACCAGATCCGTCAAACTTTTCCGCTCAACACACATATCCGAGGCAATCACATAATCACCTACTTGTAATGTGCAGGGAGTGACTTGCATTCCCGCAGCATGCAATAAAGACGGCAAACTTGAGCGAAATTCTCGCATATCAACAACAATCGAGGGGGGAAGCCTCAGTTGATCTCGGTTGCCTCCGCCCCCAACGCGCGAACTGAGTCGTCGAAGCATGCGCTGGTCCGCATCTTCTTCAGGTTGGCCCTCGGCTGTGAGGGGTATTGCCATGTTCGCTTTTTGTTTGATCAAACGTTCAAACGAATCCTTTTCTCTTCGCAGCTGTGCCAAGTACATTTGCTCTTCCACGGAATCCGTGTACATGAAGAAGTATACTTGGACCTGGGCACGATGTAACGCTCGATACAGTTCCACCTGCCGCACAAATTGCGGATTTGGATCATACATCACAACAAATCGGGGGCGAAGCTCTTGTAGTAAACTGTCATCTTCGTCTCCTCCATAGGTATGAATCACCACCGCTTGACCTAAATCTATCAGTCCAAAGTAGTCCTCGAGCGTGTCATCGACCGCCTCCGGTTTGGTCTCCATAGTCGTGGTTTGCAAGTGTTCACCAGGCAATGTAGGCACGCTTCCCGCTTGATCAGCGTGTGTATGTACTGGCATAGCCATCCCGCCACGAATCCGGCGTCGTTTCTGGGCGGAATTCCGTGCAGACTTGCGTTGCATCGCTTCACTCATAACTTCCTCCGAAACCGAAGTAGGACCTTGACTACCTCGCGCGTCCATACTTTGTTTCCATTGCAGATACTCTGAGAAATTCGCAGCCATTACCGGTCGTCCAGGATGCTCAGGATCATCATCGGCACTCGATAAAAATGCACGTAGCTGTGTTGCACTGCGCTCAGTCTCTGTCATGATCAAAATTGGAGACGGTTCTTGATACACCTGTTGTTCAATCTCATCCATAACATCTAGCAGTAGCTGCCACTTAGGCGGCTCCTCTAACACAAGCTCCGTCTTGCCTTCGCTCGTTTCGTGCCAGAGTCGTCTTCGTGCTTCACTGAAAATTACATTCGAAGCATCAGTCATGAGCCATGCTGACTGTTTTGGCCGGCTTGACTCGCTAGCGTTTGCAGCAAGAATCGTTTGCAGGTAAGTATAGAATGAAACGCTTTCATACGAATACAAATAGTGTAAGAGCGTTCGCAAGATGCCCAGATCAGATACAAGTTGCTTGGTGGATGGTGCAATTCGATGCCATACAGGCTCAAGTTGCCGTCGCACTTGCACATCAAATGCACGGTGCATCGCATTCTCAACACTAAAGTCGTCCACTTCGTCGGCTAATTTGCTTCGTCGAACCTCAGCGAGAGTCCCTTCTAAACACTCGACGATCGCCGATTGTATGGATCGCATGGCAGGTGTCGATGGCTGAT